CAGGGCCACATCCTTTCATTACACTTATCCAATCTGTATGCTGAGCAAAACATCTGAAAAGCTGGACTATATATGAAGGCCATGCCATCAAGCTTAGGGGAAGGCCCATTAACTTGTGATATACAAATGATATAGCCTTGATGAAGATTGAAGATTATAGCCTTGAGTATGGAATGCACCTCAACATACACAAAAATCTTCACAAGTGGACCAATAAACAACATCATGACAAATGGAGAAAATGCTGAAATCATCAAGGATTTCATTTTACTTGGATCCACAATCGACACCTATGGAAGCAGCAGTCAAGAAATCAAATGAGACATTGTGTTGGGCAAACCTGCTGCAAAACACTTGATTGAAATATTAAAAAGCAAAACTGTAACAACTGTGCACCTGACCAAGCCATGGTATTTTCAACAATCAATTCAAGAACACTGAACATGCCATTAACTGCCACAAAGATGAAGACATCTGTCTTGGAAGATGAATAGCTAGAATGCACTGGGAAGAGAGGAAGGTCATTTGGCCATGCAATCAGGAAGAATCAGCTCCTGGAGAAGGACATCATGCTTGGTTAAAGGAGAGGGACAGCGAAAAGGAGACAGGACTTCAATGAGATGGACTGACACCGGCTGCCATCACGGCCGTGATTGTGAGGCTGAAGCAGGACTGGGCAGTGTTTCATTCTGTTACACAAGGTTGCTATGAGTTGGGAAAACATCCCAACACCCACCAACATGCCAGTGCCTAACGGCAACCTAGTGTAACCGAGAGCAATCTGAAGTTGAGCCGTCGCAAGGCCACTGCATTTGTGTTTTGTGGCTAAGATGGCATTTGTCAGCCAGCCGTCGAGGTCATGCATGCCACCTCACTGGTGATACTGTGCATCTTAGACACTAGGGCAAGTCAAAAAGTGTTGCTGTAGTCACAGAAACCTTTAGTAAACATGAATATCAAAATGTACACGTATTGTTTCTCAACATATCCTCCCCATCTGGGTCTAGGCATTTTTAAAAAACTTTTTCTTGTAAACTGAGTGAAGGTTTACAAAGCCACCAGGACATTCCAAGCTGACCTCTCTGCCTTCAGTGTAACTGGCCCAGCAAGTCCCCTCAGAAACGGCTGTTTTGACTGAACGGGTTTTTGTTAGGTACTCTAACTAGAGGAGCTCTGGTAGCGTAGTGGTTGTGAGTCGGGCTGCTAACCGCAAGATCAGGAGTTCAAAACTACCAGCCATTTAGCAGGAGAAAGATGAGGCTGTCTGCTTCCGTAAAGATTTACAGCCTCGGAAACCCTATTCAAGGTGGCTGTGAGTCAGAAGCGACTCCACGGCACATAGCCACCACCTCTCTAACTAGACTGAGAGACCTTGTCTCAGCTGTTACCCACTGAGCACACAGACAGGTTTCAGTTTAGTTTGGAATCACCCATGTATGCATAAACTAGAACCTGAACAGCAGTCCTTTTTGACTTAATCTTGTATTTCATAAGAGACATTACCTATCTTGAATACTTTGCACCTGCATCGTTGTGCATCTTACAACATTGTTAAATGTTCATATCCAGACATTCCTTCCCTGTGGATTGTTGTTGTTGTTGTTAAGTGCCGTCGAGTCGGTTCCGACCCATAGCGACCCTGTACAGGGTTTCCGAGGGTGTAAATCCTGTGGATAGTCTTACATAAATGGCAGGCTTGATTTTGCAAAGTCTCTGAATCAAAACAAGCAAGAAGGTGTAGTACAAAAAAGCAATGAAGCTGAGCAAAGCCTTTGACTTCTAAAGTGTGAGGAAAAGGGGCAACAGTAAAGTGAATGTCTGGTCCCAAGTAACCCGCACCTTGTAGGAAAGAACCAAGGAGGCACAATCAAAGGTATTTGGGTTGGGAATGCTTTTCCTTTGACACCAAAACTTATCCTGGGACTCAGCAGATAACGAGCATTAAAGATTATGTAGCAGCTCTTGGGTGTTGCTGTTGTCGTTGTTATGTGCCGTGGAGTCGGTTCTGACTCATAGTGACCCAGGTGACTTTAAACCACCCATCTTGTCGTGCAAGCAGACCTTCAGGACGAGTGGTTATCCCATGGCACCACACCAGGACTCCTCTTGGTAACCTCACAGAATTTCAAAGACAGCTGATAATGTATCATGCTGCCTGAGAGGCAAAGGTAATAGTACTTTACACCACATCTTGATGAACTTCAATGGTAAGCGTTTCTAAAACCTGATAGTGTAGTGCATCAAAAAATACCTAGCTCTCACTGTTGCTGTTTGGTAAGTGCTGTTGAGTAGATTCAGACTCAGCGCAACCCTGTATAGGGTTTCCCAGGAGCGGCTGGTAGGCTTGAACTGCTGACCTTGCGGTCCAGTGCTTAGCCCACAGCACCACACTGGGACTCCATCGGCTCTTACAGTTGTTGATGCTAAGTACCATAGAGTTGGTTCCAACCCACAGTGACCCTACATAAGATCTCCAAGGTGCAGCTGGTGAGTTTGAACCACCGACTTTGTGGTACAAACCAACTTTGCAGTCCAGCGCATTAACCCACAATGCCACACCAGGTATACAATTATACAGGAGCCCTGGTGGCGTAATGGGTTACACATTGGGCTGCTGCCTGCAAGGCCAGCTGTTTGAACTCACCTGCTCCCATAATGATTTACAGCCTCAGAAACCCTATAGAGGGTCACGATGAGTGGGAACCAAGTCCACGACATTCCACCACCAGGGTTTAAAATGCCCAACAGCACAGTTCTCATGTAATAATACTGCGTGTGGAATTAAGCGTGTGGTTTGCTTCCTAAAAGCTCAGAATGGATGTTGTCCTATCCTAGTGAGAGAACTCTGTTCCACATGCTTAAAACAAAATTGAGAATTGTTGTATTGTTGTGAAGTGCCATCATGTTGGCTCTGACCCACAGCGACCCTGTGTAGGGTTTCCAAGGAGCAGCTGGTGAGCTTGAACCGCCAACCCTGTAGTTCAAACGGCCTTGCAGTCTGACGCATTAACCCACAGCACCACACCAGGACTCCATGTAGTAAATATAAATAATGATGTTAAGATGATTTTATTACAAGCAAAATCATCTTAGCATAAAGTAAAACATAGTTTACTTCACATTTTTATATGATACAAACTAGAAAAAGTAGCCTTATTTATAGAAAAAGGTTTTTATATAGTTTTTATATTTCCACTTACTACTGGAAAACAGCCCTGATTAAAATAGAAACTGCATGAGCACCAAGCCAGGCTGCCCTTAGGCACTGACCCAAAGCAATGGCGTTATAAGAAAACTCAGAGCAAAGAAACAGAACTGCTTGTAAATCTACCCATCTTCCCTTTGAGGGAGAATCTGGGGCAGGATCTACAATACAGACAGAGGACGAGGTCATAGGCGGGAAAACGACTTTCCTATTCATTGTGTGACATCAAGTCAATTCTGACTCATAACTACCCCAATATAACAGAGTAGAACTGCACCATAGGTTTCCTAGGCTAACTCATAACTACCCCAATATAACAGAGTAGAACTGCCCCATCGGTTTCCTAGGCTAACTCATAACTACCCCAATATAACAG